TTATTTTCAGCAATTCATTTTTAATTCTTTTTTTTTGTTTCAGAGATTTCAAATCATTTTATATATTAGACAATGGAAGTCCGAACTAGTGGAAGTCAGTCGTACTGAAGACAACAATTTTAGTAGAAAAATGCATGGAAATCACCAGAAACGTTTGTAAACATATTTTAAATTGTATCGAACTTCTTCAACCTTTTCGCAATGAAAATTTTGTAGCTCGTAGTTTTTCATAAAAGTTTGTTTTATTTTGCTTATGAAAACCGAAATATCTCGTCAACGTCTGATTTTTGATGTAAGGAATAGTAGTACACGAAACAGTTCTGAATAATAGGATACTCCCTATATTGATTGACCCATTCATAATATACATAAGTTTAAAATTAGTCACCGATTCAAAATTTCTTGTGCAACATTTTGGAAATGTAAGGTCTAGAAGACGGTAGATTGAAACAACCATATCAATCATCAACAGATCGTTTATCTATTCTATTCAGCTCCATTATTTCATGGTATCCAAAAATGTTAAATTATACAGGGTTTCTGTTTGGAATGGGGAAATTTGTACCGACTTCCGATATAACCGGAAATGCCATTATTATCATAGAGATAGAGCATATTAAAACTGAACCCCAGTTTTAATTTGAGTTTCATTTGCTCTCCTGGTTTGATGCAGGGACTACCATCGGACAAAATATTTCGTGAAAGATGTCATTTCCGAAGATGTGCTGGTTTAAAAAATTAATGAGTATTGCAAATTCGTCCAAAAAAGTTGATTCTGATGCAATTTGACATAATGAGTGATGAGTATAAACATACACTGTGGAAGTTTCAAAAGTATCTTCAGTATAATTTACAAATTACATTTACAAATTAAAAATAGTTTCAGCTGATTATAACTTTCTAGCCCAAATAGGAGCTTTTGATAGAGCTATACATTTATCGGAACTGGTACCACAATAGATTTCGATTTTTAACGAAAACTTCGTCATTCAGTAATATTATGATAGCAAAGTTCATGATAAAACCATGGGTCTGTAGGACGAATGGTTTTATATATTGCTGGTTGCACTATTGGAAACATTTTCGGTCGGATAGTATTCGTGAAGATTATTTCCTGAAATATTCTCAGCTGAAGGCATTGGTATAAAAAATATCAATTAGCAAGTAAAATCAATTCTATTACCTGAATAACGAGAAATTTCAATAAAAATATTTGTACAATTATTGAAGACTCAATGTTCGAAAATATGAAGAGAATACGTAAATGTTTGAAATTGCATTTTTCAACAATAGGATTTCATTGCTGAATTCTATCGTGCCTTGAAGTGAAACCTCTGATTCGGCACCAGGCCGTATTCTTTTCGAATTGAAAACGTCTTACTATACTTATATATTTCGATTATAATCAGAATTTCCAGGTATCATATACCTCCATTCAAAGTGGAGTTTCTTTTTCAATTTCAGTTTATATTTTTCCATGGTCTTACCCTTGAAGGTAGTGCTGTCAGATGAAGTGTGCTGAAGTTCCAAGTCTTGTGAATATCCAAACGCAACCAATGAAAAAGCAACAATAAGGGGAAGATAAACCATTTTGTTGTCAGCAAACCACCATCAAAATCTGAAACAATTGATATATCGTGAACAAAACATATTCCATAAATGAATTTGAATTACTGATTTGATTGTATTCCTGCATCGATAAAAAAACATGAAATTGAAAAATATGATTACTTCAAAAAAAAGGAAAAAAATTCAAATTGAAAACATTAATTTATATANAAACAACAGGGGTCCAAGAACAGAACCTTGCGGTACTCCATGTTTTATGATTTTCAGTTCTGAATCAGAACTGTTGTTAAGATGGACAAACTGTTGTCTACCTTCTAAGTAAGATTTGAACAGGTTCAACGGCGTGCCTCTAATGCCATAGAATGTAAGTTTTTCTATTAAAAGTTCGTGTGAAACACAATCAAAAGCTTTGGAGAAATCACACATGGTAAGTACTGAATGACCATGTCTCTCCAAACCCTCGACTATGCTTTCTAAAATCTCTAGGAGGGCTTTTGTTGTAGATTTTTTTCTACGGAAACCGAATTGAGCTGAAGACAACAGTTCAAATCTCTCCAAATATCTCGAAAGTCTGTCTTTCAGCAGTATTTCAAAAACCTTAGAAAAAATAACGATAATAGAAATTGGTCTGTAATTGTCAAGCTCTTCTTGATCATACAAAGTTTTTTGTACAACTGTCCTGTTTTCATAATGAAATAGATTAATGCAATATTTCAATAAAAACACATTTTGACATCTTTTGTCAGTTAACTAGTTTCATGTTATCGCATTTGCTGTGAAGTGGCCGTGTCAGGTGACAGCCATAAAACGACAAAGAACAGGTCACATGGAATGTGAGAAAGCTGCACAGCAAAACTGAAGAGAGAAAAATGATAAATGAGAGTATCAAGAGAGAATGGCAAAGGGAATGGGAGTGAGGCACGACTATCGTTTATGTGCTGTTAATTTGGAACACAGGGGTTAGGTTAGGTTAGGTTACTAAACAACTTTTGACAGATTTGAAATCTATGACAAAAGACAAATAGAATTAAAATGGACGAAACAATAAAATTACTAAAACAAAAATAAGAACGGACCTGCTTTTTGGATGCGTAGTGAAGAAAGAAATTATGTGAGAAAGAGAAAAAATTGAGGAAATAAAATTAAAAACTGAAATTTGAGAACGATAATTTGTAAAAAAATAAATTATTGTGATTGGGTTGAACGATAAGTGAAAAGTTGATTAAGTATATGCAAATAATAAAATGGAAAAAAATAAAATCAGATAATTGAGACGTGTGATGAAAAGATGAAAAGTGACACGTGTGATGAAAAGTTACACAAAGAATAAATGCTCAGTCATTAATAGTAAATAAATAGGTTACCGTACATATTTGAAAAAGTGTCAATAGTTGCATATCTGCAACATTATAGAAAACATATAAGACATGTATATACATACGCTGTTTGTTAAAAAATCTAGCTGAATTTTCATTTTTCTCAAAAACTATTTATTCACACTCGTGCCAGGTTTTTTCCAATTCTCAGAGCAGTACTGTTTAAAATCTGTTTAGATATACATATACTTTATTGTTCAAGAAAATACAATCTTATTGACGAAGCTTGTTGAAAAATCTGGTATATATAGCACTTCAAAGAATAAAAGAAAAGAAACAATACAAAANGCAGAATACTGCAGCTACGACCTCACCATTGTTGAGATGTGTGTAGACATGTTCAAGAAAGGAAAAGATTGCATCATTTGTGCCTTTTGCCTTCTGAAAGCCAAATTGACAGTTGGTTAATATATTGTGTTCATGAAGAAAAGCTAATACCCTTTTTTTCACCATTTTTTCTATGATTTTTGAGAGTGTTGAGAGCATGGAGATATATCTGAAGTTATTTGGATCTTCTGCATTACCACCTTTGAAAATAGGAAATCTGTTTCTCCGTTAACCAGCTGTCGCATCCCTACAAACGACAACCCTCAGAAGTTGAAACTTGTGCGAGCTTACTTTGTAACGTGTGATTCCTAACACGGGTTGGACGATAGCAAGTGTAAATCGATCGTTCAGTCTGGGGCTTGAACCACCGACCAACACGGCGGTCAATTCGAGTGAGTGAACAAAGCACCCACGTCAAACCGACTGGCCACCGACCGACCCTGAAATGCCGTTTTTGGTATGTCCTTCAGCTCTCTCAGCGATTCGATTTTTATCTTCTCAATCGTCGCAAAACGCCGTCAGTGAGAAAAACCCTGACATTTGATCGAATTTAGCGTGCTTTTTTTGGTCTTCCATTGGGACTATTGAATTTTGCTTTGGATGTCATAACCATATAATCATGATTCGTTACCTTCAAATCAAATCTGGATTACCGTTGACGTCATTCAACAATTCCTGAGTGATGCTCATTGATGTAGCCGATAATACCAATAACACGTTGATCTTCGGAATTATCTTCGGATCGATCATATTGGTACTGATTCTAATAGTACTGATCACAAAGAAGGAAGAGAAGGGTACCATTCTCAAATGGCTTCGCCCTAAGAATCTAAAGAAGAAAAAATCTGTTTAAAATCTGTTTTTCCGTTAATCAGAAAATATCTTGGAAATCGAAATGGCGCTTCCTTATCTGGACTTCCGTATCAATTCACACCATTTCAACTAATATTTTATTCATTTTGTTTGTTACTCTTGTTAGAGAAAGTCGTTCGAGAAAGAGTTCAATGAGAGTAGAAGATCAATTTCATTAAGTTCATAGTAAAACACAGCTGTGGCACATTAATCAACGATTTGAATATTCCAATTCTCTCAGAAATTCGTTCGTACAACTACCAAGATGACTCGAAGGGAGAACACTATTGAAGTCTTCAAAGGGAATGTAATCAGCAATAAGTATGCTTTCAACATGAACGAGATATCTCAAATATGAGAAAATGAGTATATGTGCGTGTTTGAGAGTTTACAATATCAAGGGTGACGGGGTTAAGGTTTGTGAAGTGAAGGAAAATTGAATATTGAGTTTATGTTCCTGCAGAGGGTAGGTACTTCATTTTCTCAACTTTCCTCACGCTTCTCCTTCGACCCTGAAGAATGGATTTTCATCGAAGATATGCATTGAAATTTCCGGCATATAATAGAAAATGTAGGAAACAGAACTAGTAATCCTTTTGGGTGCATCATATACAATAAATTCAGTTTAAAAAAACTAAAAAACACGCTTTTGAAGAACATCAAACTGAAAAGTTGGAAATATTTAATTTTTAAATAAGCTTAAAACAATATCGAACAAAAAATACTAGTATTATTGTGAAAAAAGCGTGGGCGCTTTGTGCCATATTTTTTGTATAAAAAGCGCCCATTACTTTTTAGTTCGATGTTCTTCAAAAGCGTATTTTTGATTTTTTTTAAACTATATTTGTTTTTCATTTTTTAGTTTCGTATGCTGTAAAAGCGTGTTTTTTAGACTTTTCAAACTATATTTATTTTACCTAAACTTTGGGATCAATCAGTCGTATATTGTTTAGAAAAATGACCATTGACATTTTCCGATTCCAGAGAGGGAACCTGAAAATCAGCTACCAAGCCCAAGGCAGCATGCGCGCAAAGGAGGGTTACAAATAAGGCAGCAGGCGCGCGTGGTAATAAAAAAAAATACTTTTTTCAAATGAAGAAATACATGTGAAGTGAGCTCGAATGATATCAAGGAGGTTATGTACAGCGCCATCTGCCCGCGAATAGATCAAGCAATAATGTCGATAAATCTGTCAAATACATATCCCTAGCATTCAAACGGGAATAAATATAGTATGAAAAGGAGAGTTACAAATAAACAATCCAACAAACAAAAAACATACATACATACAGGTGAAGCTAATAAAAGTGTGTTGAAAAAATAATTTTCAAATGAAAAAATACATGTAAAGTGAGTTCGAATTATATCAAGGAGGTTACTTAAGCGTCATCTGCCTGCGAATAGATCAAACAATAATGTCGATAATTCTGTCAAATACAGATCCAGAGCTTGAGAGTTACAAATAAACATACATACATACAGGTGAAGTGTTAAAAAAAATAAGAAAGTTTAGTTCTGTTATGGCCAAATTGATCTATTGATAGATTCTCATAGGACTTCAATATAACTGGCCTCTAACATTAACTGCCCAATGTATTCAGCAACACAAACTTCTTTTCTTTTCTCAAAGAATAAAGGATCACAGGATGAGTTTCTTAAATATGATGACCGGTTCCACATTTACAAATCATCGTTTGGCAGAGGGACTTGGTTCAATCACGACTATGACGTCTATTGGATTGCTTGGAAATCAATGCATTAAAAAATTCTGAAAATTTACTGAGTGACCAAATATGAATAATAACTTCATTAAATCTCATTAAATTCCTAATGGAAATAAATTTCACAAACATTAGTTTGTGAAATTTATTTCCATTAGGAAAATACAATATGAAAATCAGTTAATGAAAGTTTATACCTAAGCTCAGGTAAAAGTAATAGTAGGTAGAAAGTCATATTATTCAAATCGTTAATTCATCTCAAGCACTGATTAGGTAGAATTTAGTTGGTATGAACACGCCTATTACTATTGTATAGTAAAACAGGTGAAGCGGACAAAATGAAATGAAAATTAAAAGTAATAATGAAAAATTTTGGCCTTAAAGTAAATGAGCAAAATGTTCACCTTCCAATAATATACACGACTGCAATCGATTTGTCATTGATTGTCTGACACGTTCAAAACTTCCTGAAGTATATCTTATGAGATTGCAATTGTCAATTACTCGATTCTTCAAGTCATTCACATCTAGTACAGGAGTTTTATGAACAAGAGCCTTCAGATGACTCCATGAATATAAATCAAGAAGATTCATGTCAGAACTACGAGCTGCTAATTTTGAGGTCCTGCATGTCCAATCCAGCGATTAGGGTAGGTGATGTCGAGATGCTGACGTGCACGAACACTAAAATGAGCTGGAGCCTCGTCATGTATAAACTGCATGTTGCCTCTCAGAAATACTTTTAAGAAAATGGGTTAATGATTCCGCAAAA